TAGCTAAGGTGCTTCCTTCTGGTTTTCTCTTAATAAACGTAATAAGTCATTTGCTTAGCTTTAGTCTTCTTGTTCTGTAACAATAGTCACCATAATTACAAAACTATGATGAGCACAATCTTAAGAATTAGAGGAAGTATCTGTAAAGGTCCTTACTAAATAAAGTGTGTTTGTTTAGTTGTCACTCCTTCCCCCAACAAATAAAATACAGTGGTATTAAATCGCAACCACCACTGAATCATTTAAATGGGAAAAATATGACTGGTAAAACTTTCTTATTTGCGGGAAGGTAAGAAAATTAAAAGCCTCCAAATTGTGAAAAGCACTTTCTTTTGAAAGACACTTAAAAAAATGTTTACAATTTACAGTTATATAAGTGGCCTTTAAGAGGAAATACTACAAGACACTGAATCAGCCATCTCATATTAGATTGCCAAAATGTGGTTGCACGAAAACATCTACCTTGATGTGGTAAGGAATACAGCTAATGATCTCAATAACATGACCCTCTCTGGCACCGTAACATGATCCTCTCACTGTGAGATGTTACTAGGTAATGGGCAGGTCTCCAATCTTTGCTTCTCTCTTCGCCCCTGTAGCTCCCCACACTCTAAATCATTGGGTAAGGGTCCCTGTGGCTTGAAGTTCTTTTAACTCATTTTCCTCTCTTTCACTTTCTTTGTTTTTCACAGCTGACTTTGAGGAGGGTGACACTTTCCCCAAGCTCTGATAGATATTTTGTTCATAACTCCAATAAATTTGCTGAAGAAATTGAATGCCTTCAGAAATTTAATCTGTCAGTCATTCTGGATTGCAAACTATTTATAAGGCTGAATAAAGGAAGTAGTTAACTGCTATAATATTAAACCTAGTCTAGTTCACAGATTCCCCAATCCTACCAGATTACTAAAATGCTGTTTTGGCTACCTAAAATGTTATCTCACATACAAAATCTCTCAGTGATGTTACTCATCTGTGGTTTGATGCCTGTTTAATAACGTTTTGACAAGAAATGAAACCATATACATGTATTGTGAATAAGAACAAAGAGTGGCATCTTATCAAAAGTATTATGATTGAACCCTCTCCTCAAAAGTTACTTAAAAACTTGGTATCTACAGCCTGGAAATACTGCAGAGATTCATTCAGTTTTTAAACAGGGATTTGGGGAAGATTCAACATATTATACGCCAGTGCTTCTCAACTTTGGCAGCTTGAAGATGTGTGGAGAATGACTGGGGATTTCTGGGGATTGAAGTCCAAATATCTTTGAGCTGTCAAGGTGAGAATCTCTTTTTATAATCCATTAGATTAGTGTCTGTTTTGGACAAATTGATTGAAAAATATCTTCATCAACCTATTTATGTTTTTAGAGAATGTGGATGTTTACAGAAAAAGAATGTGGAAGGAAATGATCCCTCTGATGAAGTTTGCTTGAACTTTAAAAAAGGCTGTGAGGAAGTCCTTCATCAAAGACTCTGAAGTTGAGACTGTGATTATGGGATAAGGGGACTTTATGCTGAAGGCTATGAACAGGAAGCAAAGTGTAGGAATAAACTGACAGTTTCCTTAATGTGGACAAGCAAGAAGTGAAATCCCCTAAGCATCTATGTTGGCTTTTTAACTTCTTTATTAATGATTTTGATTTAGGGATAAGTAATGAGCTAGCTAAGTTTGCATATGATATCAAATACACAAGCGCACACTTTTAGTGAACCACTATATAGCCTGTGCCCCATTAGGTCATTGTTTCAGAGATATTTTCTTACATAAACAGAGAATCAGAATGCTACATGTGGGCAAAAAAGCAGTGGGAGCAGGGGCAACTTCTGACTTCCTGCTGGCTTCCCCACTGAGTTTTCTTGTGGGACACTGGTAGGGACCATCAGAAATCTCCCTCCCTCCCTCCCCATTTACTCTGCTTGTGGTCAGCTTGCCAGGAGAAAGTCAATGGACAAAACAGCAGGAAGTTGCAGATCCAAGGCCAACAGGCAAATAAATGACTGCTACCTGGGAAAAGAAGTGAGAGAGTGTGCTGGATGCAAGTCAGGAATTGTATATGAGGTATGAAAGAGGAGATGCACAAGTCAGGAAGGGTTTGTGATGATGCATGCAAGAGAAGCCACATGGGTCAGGTAGGGTGTATGAGAAGGGGATAACATGGATCAAGAAGGGTGCATGGAGATATCTGGGAGGTTTGAGAGATGCCCTGTGAGTTAGCTATAGCATGTTGTGTGTGGGGGGGGGGGGGGGGGGAATGGTTGGCGGTGTTTGGAGTATATGAGAGATGCTGTTCAGCTCAGAGACATTGTGTGAAGGTAGGATGATATGGGTTGGGCAAAGTGCATGGGGTGTGCAACAGGTTCCATATGGATCAGGGAAAACACACAGGGAATGAATCGGTGACAGTGCATGGGGGTGTATAAGAAGTTCGGTTTGGGAATGGTATGAATTGGGGGATTATATGGGAAGGAATGGACCAGGAAAGGTATGCTGGGGTTGTGTTCCTTCCCCCCTTTTTCCTTTCCTTTCCTTTCCTTTCCTTTCCTTTCCTTTCCTTTCCTTCCCTTCCCTTCCCTCCCCTTCCCTCCCCTCCCCTTTCCTTCCCTTCTGTTGAAAGGACTTAAGAAAATGAAGTACTTCTGCACAATGAGCATAATTAAACTCTAGAAATGTCCCACAATTACAATTCATTACCTTGAATGAAATTATAAAAGATTTGGATGAATTCATGGAGGACCACTCTATTATGGCTTATTACACTTGAAATTATAATGTTGCCACCATGCTGGAAAAAGCAGCATTCCAAATAGCAGTTACAGAAGAGCAAGGATGTCAAAAGACATCATATCTTCTACTGAGAAATTCCCCCAAAGATATATAGTTGCTTTGTTGTGAAAAATAAAATGATGGATTGACATGGTCTTTAACCTGAACCAAGAAGGCTGTTACATGTTATTATTTCAAAATAGAAAAATTGGAAAGGGCATGTTTGCCTACAAACTGTAATCAGAGGAAACTTTGATCAAGAGTATGAAATTCTGGCTTATTTCAGCAGCTTTGAGACCACAGAACTACAGACGATTCAAAACAGATTTGGAGTAATATAAATCTTTTAAAAAATATTTGTTAAATTAATAGAGAAAAAAACTTGCATCCCATAAAGATTTTTTTTAAAATTTCTATATCCATTATTGTGCTTCTATCCAGAACCAAATGCGTAGACTGAGATAAATCATTGGGCTTTATTTATTAATATCACTTTTCTTTGATGTGAGGCGTAGATGAAACTACTTAGGTGCGGGTACCAAGTGTGGGAGCAGTCAAATCAACCTAGCATCAATTTGTGGATATGTTGGGGTTCAGTATTGCTAATTGACTCACTCTACCATCTTTCTTTTTTAATTCTTCTTTAAACCAATGAGTTTAGAGATCATTTGGTCCGACATGAGAAATTTTGCTTAATGTTAAAATCATGCTTCTTCTCAATTGCCACTAAACATTGATGAATAAAGCTGCTTGCCCTCCTCTAAAAGTTGTTAAGCTCAGTCTCAAATGACAGAATTCTGCCTCTGTGAAAAGGAACAAGAAAACTTGTCATTATGAACTGTGGAAATGCATCAGGTGAACCACTAATCCGCTAGGGTTTTTAAAAGACCAGTGTAGATACCTTAGGTAGCTTTATGTAAGTATACGCTAGCAAATACTGTAAAGGAAAGTCGAATGCCTGCATAAATTCTGCCTCCTTTCTGTGGGTTCCCTTCCCTTAAACATTTCATCCTATAAAATAGTAGGACATGCTCTTTTGAAACAGAGATTAGTCGCCTTCTGGTGGCTTTTACCACTGTGAATCCTGATAATGCCAGATTCCTAATTGTTCAACAACGTTCTGTGAGTAGAGGAGGTTCCCAAACTTATTTTTTAATCGAAAGAGACCATTCAGTCATGTGAGCCTCAACTTCTTCCATCTGAAGTGATACAATTCTGATAGAGATCAATTCGCACAGCAAGGCTAGATCTAAGAGTGTAATTCTGGAAATGCAGGGTCTAGTGGAGGCTCTCCTTGCCTTTTGGTTGTTCAAAACTTCTAGGAGGACTTGAGATGAATCTCTTGTATACTTTAACAAAGAGAATAAAGATGTTATTTTGCCAGTATGAAAGTTGAGAATGTTCTTTTTTTCATAGCTGCTGGCACAAAGTACATGATATCCTATTTAGAATTAAATCCTATTTTTCTTCAGCCCTGTGCCAGCATCCAGGTAGGAGCAAACCAAAAGACTTGAATGTGCAAATACAGTTCATTTCTTTCAGAGACATTCCACAGTGCCACTTTCAAAGTTTCTGAAGCTCTCAGACAAGGCATCCCCCTAACTTGGAAGAAAATGGTCAGGCAAAATAAGAATAATGGTCCTATGAGCGTGGTGTTTTAATAATAAATTAACTTCTTTTCATATGCATGGGACTAGTATTCATTCTTTGAGTCTACCTAATATTGCTAATCAATAAACAACATTGGTGTCTTAATTTTCTGATAACAGCAATCAATCCTACTCCAAAGGCTAAATCTGAGGGATTTGAGGAATTCTAACTAGTTCTTATTCAGGAAAAAAAAAGTGTTTCTAGATTCATAGGCTATTCTTAAAATAAATTATTCTTACATTGAGCGTCTACTTTCTACAATTAAAAGATGCATTAAATTAAGCCTGGGTGAAGATGGAAGGAAGTCCAGCATCCTTTTGAGAAATAAAATATAAATGGGCCATAAAAAGGGCAATTGCATGATAACGGAACCAATAAACTAAAAAAATATTACCCTATTTCCTGAATGTTAGATTACAGGTATTACAATGAAAAATTCAGGTCTGTTTACTTTCTGAAGTTAACAAACATTGTACAAACACTTCACCCCTCCTCCTCCCTTCTGGTGGGATGGATTGTGCCAATGGGCATTATATAAAGAAAGGCTGTAGACTGGCTTCTGCCTTGCACTCGTAGCCACCATGGGGCCAGAGGTGACCAGCCTGTTGTTGCTAGGGCTGGTACTTTGCTGTGCAAGTGAAATTAAAAGAGGTAAGATGTTTAACAAGTATGCTACAGATGTGGCCAATGGGCAGCCTAAAGAGCACTCAAAGCTTGTTGTAATGGGCTTTCAAGTTCTCTGATGATTTCGTAGAGCGTGGAAAATATGGAAGGTATTGGGTGCTTGTAACAAGTGAATATTCTGTATGATATGAATGAATATGTTGCCGATATTAAGGCACGGCAGATCTTGGCTTACAGTATTTGTCACAGAATTTATTGAATCTATAGTCCTGCTGTATTGCATTCTTTTAAGGATGCAAAGTGCATCTTATAACTCTTTATTTAACCAAGTATCTAAGCATTTATTCTATGTAGAATGACTGTTATCTGGCCAGTATGTTTCAGTTTCTATGAATCTGGTCTGTTAAACCAGACCCACTTTGACTGGGTTAGTGATGTAAATTCCTTTGTTCTGTCTGCTGTTATCTTGTTGTATTCTGGTCAGTGGTCATAATAAACATAATATTAACAGTGCTAGTAGGGAGGGTATCACTTTGCTGTGCTATAATGTTCATTTCAGCACTGGGATATTGATTCTGATTTCTTCATTAATCTTCAAATGTTAAGGTCCTGCAAATAAAGCAAGACTAAATATCCCTACTGTTAATGAATATAACTCGAACCTGGAACTTTCAAAGGAGTGATGTTTAATTAAAAATCATATCTTATTTGGTATAAGTGGCAGCAATTTTGTTTTAAATGCTTCACTATCACACTACCATCCAAGCGGTAACTCACGTTAAGAGGTAACACTCTCCTTTTGTTTCCCATAGTACAAAGATCTAGTTGTACTAAAAAAAAAAAAAGAGGCCAATATTTGTGCCTCTTTTTCATGCTTTATGTGTGTATATTTCTTGAGTTGATGCAAACAACAATGGTAATATAAAAATGCAAAAATTTCAGTCAAGCATCTGATACTGGCAAGCTTTCCCCATTCCAAGGCTTTTTAAATTGTTTATTTTGACTTAATTACGTAAGTGTCATTGATCTGGGTTTGGATTTGTTTTTTGCTTCATAATAGTCCTTAATGGTTATTTGTCATCACATTTTTGTCTTTTCAGTAAGAAAATCTAACCACGGCCACTTTGTCTGCAGTACCTGGGGAAACAACCATTTTAAAACCTTTGATGGAGATTTTTACCAATTTCCCGGGATCTGTGATTATAACTTGGCTTCAGATTGCCGAGAATCTTATAAAGAGTTCTCTGTTCATATCCAGCGTGAGCAGAATCATCAACGTCACCCTAATATAAAATATGTTCTTGTTACAATCAAAGATGTTGCTATTTACCTCACTCACAACATGGTTGCGGTAGATGAGCAAATGTAAGTTTCTCTGACGTGGTTATGTTTCCAAGCATGCAATCTTTGAATTCTGAAAATCTTTCACAAAAATTTCACTGTAGAAGCTTTAATATTGCAGAAGCGATAGCCCAAAACATTCAGAAACTACGTTGTGTAGAAACTCCAGCTACATTTTCAAAAGAAATGTTACTTTGAGCAAAGTTTGAAGTAATGTTGGAATTCTTCAGAAAACTTTCAAGAGAAGTACAAAATAAGTTAGAATAAGAGATGTGAAATGACTTCAGGGAGTCTGTACATACACAGGTCATCACCAGTTTTCAACTAAAGCAAAATTTGGACTGAATTTGAGTATGATTATTCAGGAAAAACATCTGAGGCAACACAAGTTTTAGTCACTACTCCCAAGGCTTGCATACCTCTCACTCAATATAGACTGTAGAGCCTAATAATGAAGCTAGCTCCTGGATTGTTGAACTTCAATATGCTTCAATATTATTGTCAGAAATTTCATTCTCAGTCTGGAGGAGAATAATATTTTTCAACTTTTCATCTGGTCACAATTCATCCAATTGCATTCCACATGCAGTCCCTCCTTGTTTTATACTAGCTTCACCTTGTTGACTTTTAGAAAAATTGTTAATTAAACATTATAATGGCAACTTATAAAAATACAACTGAGATTGAGAGAGAGGTTGTACTGAAAGCTGCCAGGTGTAGTTATGTCCATGTTGATTCATTGCGTAGGTTCTCTTTAGATCTGAACACTGGACTTCACTAGAATTCCATCTGTACCCTACAAGCAACAGCGTAATGACTTGATTTTCGATATGCTACAAACACTCCAGTCCAACAATATCTACTGAGAACATTTTCCTATATCATTAAGGGATTTTGACTTAAAATTGAATGGTCATTACTAGAGATCCATCCAAGTTCATGTTGAATATAAAGCAGAAAAATTAGAAGGATTAGAAGACTATACCAGCAGGCTCAAAGTAAGCTAGTTCTCTGGGGAAATGTCCCTTTTAGTCAGTAGATATACTGGTTCTATATACTGACATGGAAGCTTTAGTTATTTTTCTTCCCTAGCATGGTGAGATAAGTGATGGTAGCTTTTCTTCTTTAATTAGCATTTTACATTCCTTACCAGCTTATTGAATTTAAAACCCATGGTAAATGTTAGGTAATTGGCTTAAGAAAACATATTCATTCTCTTAATGAATGTTAATATTTCTCTTTTCCTGTAATATGACCTCTTCCATTATTCTAAGGTTGACTAACATTTTGCTTTGCAGCAAACCTCGCAAATGACTAGAAAACCTATGTATAAGATCCTGCTCCTCATAGCACAGGAAAAAAAAATGAGTCTAAACAATTCTTTGCTTTTCATCTCGGAAAAGGTTAAATGTACACAAAGCCTATCACAGTCTGATATGCTTACTGCAGCCATTGAAGTCTTGCTTATTCCAATCTGTTCTGTAGCTTTGCATTCAAGTACTTTCCTCCTGCTTCCCCCCCCCCCCCCCCCGCCCTCCGCTGTTAGGATGCCTTTTGATGACTCTCTATATGTGTAGGATGCTTCTACTCTGGTAGACTGAATGAGAGAGAGTACAATTATTTCAGTATACAAGGGAATGTGTCTTAAACTATACATCATACATAGTGAGTAATCATACATAGTGACCTCACAAAAAGTTATTATTGGGATTAGCCTGACTGGAACTAATTAACATGTAGTGTCTTTTAATATCATTTTTATTCCCTGTTACCAGCTTTTCAGAGGTTTATGGAAAAGGCTAGTAAAAACAGCCCACTTTTCTTTCAACTGAGGTTCTTTTTCCCACTAGCTATGCTTGCCAATTTTTTTCTAGTTCATAAGAGTATATGTTTTACTGAAAAAGGGAACTGCTTCTAACAAACAGTATATTTTTACTTGTTGGCTTGACTGAGCTATTAAGATTGCACAAATATGGACCCAAACTCAGATACAATTTGGAGCGGTGCAGTGGAATCAAATCAGGCAACAATTCAAACATATTAAAATTCTGAAAACCCAGCTGTTTGGATGTAAAATAGACCAGAGGTACAATGTAATTCCTCACTAATTATAGGAATATGATAGACTTCTAATGCTTGAGCTGTCCATTGCAATGGAAACAAGTGCACATACTTTTCTGTCATCCTTCTCTACAGGGTAAAGACTCCATATTATAGTTCTGGCATCCTGATTGAGAAGAACAATATATATACTAAAGTCTATGCAAAAGTGGGCCTAATTCTGATATGGAACCAAGCAGATGCTTTGATGGTATGATGTCAACTTCTGGCTGATATACAACATACAGGCAATGATAGCAATAGCACTTAGCAATAGCACTTAGACTTATATACTGCTTCACAGTGCTTTTACAGCCCTCTTTAAGCAGTTTACCGAGTCAGCATATTGCCTCCAACAATTTGGGTCCTCATTTTATCTACCTTGGAAGGATGGAAGGCTGAATTAACCTTGAGCCTGGTGAGATTCGATCTGCCAAATTGCAGTCAGCTGGCAGTCAACAGAAGTAGCCTGTAGTACTGCATTCTAGCCACTGTGCCACCACAGCTGTTATCCTCTGTTACTCTCTTTGTGATTTTTTTTCCCCAGTACCTACAGTATGATTGGTTTTAGAATAATTCTATCCCATTGGCTACCTTTAGGCTAGGCTGAATACAACTTGAGCCAGCGTAGCTTGTAAGGGCTTTTTCATACATTAGATTATTCAGATAAAGAGTTAGCATTAGAAATATGTCCTGTTGCAAAATATCCTGTTCTGTATCGGAGAATTGCATTAGGAAATCAGCATTTATAGAGGTAGTCCTTGACTTACAACCAATAATTGAGCCCAGCATTTATGTCGCTAAGTGAGAAATTTGTTAAGTGAGTTATCCCCATTTTACAACTTTTCTTGGCACATTTGTTAAGTGAATCACTGCAATTATTAAATTAGTAACATGGTTGTTAAGTAAATCTGGCTTCCCCATTGTCAAAAAGTTGCAAAAAATGATCACATGACTTTGGGACACAGCAATGATCATAAATATGAACTACTTGTCAAGCATTCGAATAAACATGACCATGGGGATGCTGCAATGATCATAACTGTGAAAATGATTACAAGTTATATTTAAGTTACCTTGTTAAAGGATCTCAGCATATAAAAAAAGACATATGCTTGAGATACTGAATCACCACCATCAATCAAAATATCGTGGTTTTATTTCTTCAATGTAGATTGAGCTTGACTCTAAATTCAACAATTATACTTGTGGCCTTTGTGGAGATTATAATGGACAACAGATCTACAATGAATTTATCTCAGATGGTAAGTAGAGCAACAGTACAGAAAGCATTCTACTACAAACTGGAGCACATGCTTTAAATACAGAACTGACAGTCAAACGATAGTTTAACACACACATGCAACACCTTATTTTTTCCAGGCAAATTAGTTTGCAAATGAGAATGTACAATGACTTATATGTTCTAAATTTTAACTAAATTATGAGGTCACTAAACTAAGTTAGCAGAACTTGATTTACTATTTAATATAATATTGTCCACTGTATAATTAAATCTGTTTTTTATATAGTCAGGGGAACTCAAGAGCAGTATGTTAACTCAACCCTAACCCTAACCCTAACATACTCAAGAGCAGTATGTTAACTCAAGAATAGTATGGAATTCACTTTACCAATAAAGTAAAACTGTATGTATTACTTCCACTCAATCCAAGTTAAACTCTGAGATTCATGCATTCTTCCATGAAAATGAAAACAAAACAAAACATTCAAACAGATCTTTAAGTATATGAACACCAATAACTAGAATAAAACTGCACAAAATTTAGACAGTCCATTGTAGCTGAATGTATTGTAGATTAAGAAATTGTGGTTTTCAAGCAAAACCAGGATGTCTTGTACCTTAGTTTACTTAATATACAGTACAACATTTCTGAGCATCTCTGTTGATCATCTGTCTTTCTTCCTGTTCTCAAAATACATTGTGTGGTATCCATACCCAACATCATGCATTCCTCTTTATCTAGCTGATTTATCACACATGGAGCTTTACACTTATCAGTATGCTAAGAATCATAAGCTGAAAATGAGATTGTTTAAATACACCTTTATCGTTTCTAATAGGATTAAGCTACAATCCAATCACATTTGGAAACCTACAAAAAATTAATAACCCCACAGCAAAATGTGAAGACCCTGATGAGACAAAGCCTATTGAACTGTGCAAGCAGCATGTAAGTTTTCAAACCTTGATGGATGATCAGAAATAGGGAGAGATCAACCTCTAAACCCTGGCTGCTTTTGCTCCAGGTTTTTTTTTATTGAGAACAGTGGCCCATGTTTCACAGCCCCAAAACTTGAAGGCACAATTTTGGTTTACAGTTTTAATCAAGTCTTTTTATTACTGGAGGGTAATGTAAGGGAGAGACCTATTCTTCTCTGCTTTCTTCTCTTTCAAGCGTGAAGAGTGTGAAACTCTCCTAACTTCGCCGGCATTTGCAGATTGCCAGAATCGACTGAATCTAGAACTGTATGTTCAAGCTTGTATGCAGGACAGATGTGCTTGTCAGCGTAGAAAGGACTCTTTCTGCCTTTGCAGTACCATCTCTGAATATTCACGACAGTGTTCCCACGCTGGTGGCAAACCTCAGAATTGGAGGACCTCTCAGCTCTGCCGTAAGTAGCAAACTGGCTTAGATCATATTGATTGATTGATTGACTGGATTTATAAGGCTGCCTAACTCAAACAGTGTGAGTCTGGGCAACATACAAGAACAAAATGAAGTTGAAAAAAAAATAACAGGATGCAGGTGTGGATACTGCCACTACTTTATTTTATGTCAAAATGGCCCTGAAGATCCTCCATCTTTCATCCTGAATATGTTTCTCCTAAATATCCTCCATCGTTGATTATTTATTTCAGTCCATTTCCACAGAGCATCAGTGTCTTGGGAACTAAGCTGACCCACAAAAAGTGTTAAAACAAAATAAGGAAAATTAAAAACCCTTTGAAACTCAGGGGAATTCAATCAATGTGAATTGTCGACTGACTATAGAAATAGTCAGCCACTGATGGGTATCTTGTATTAAAAAAAATACAAGACAGTCATCACTGGTCTTATATTAACAATATTTAAAAACATGGAAACTTGCACAAAGGATACAGATAGACTATTACTTCATCTGTCTGGGTTTGGAGTTGGTTATCCATCCATCCATCCATCCATCCATCCATCCATCCATCCATCCATCCATCCATCCATCCATCCATCCGTCTATCTATCCATATCCACTATGATACTTCTGGGCAAATTATTCAAAGCATAAAAAGGAACAAAATAGTAAGCAAAGAAAGTAATGGCATGAGAAAGGAAAGGAAAGGAAGGGAAGAGAAGGGAAGGAAAGGAAAGGAAAGGAAAGGAAAGGAAAGGAAGGGAAGAGAAGGAAAGGAAAGGAAAGGAAAGGAAAGGAAGGGAAGAGAAGGAAAGGAAAGGAAAGGAAAGGAAAGGAAAGAAAAGGAAAGGAAAGGAAAGGAAAGGAAAGGAAGGGAAGAGAAGGAAAGGAAAGGAAAGGAAAGGAAAGGAAAGGAAAGGAAAGGAAAGGAAAGGAAAGGAAAGG